TTCATCACTTTTAGCATCAAATTTGCCAAGGTTTTCTTTACCGTTGTTTAAAACAAAACATTTACATCCAAAAGGATGAAAATAGCTAATGTTAGGCTTTTTATTTTTGAAAAATTCATATGGAGTTTTCTTTAAAATTGGCCTAATCATTACTCGGTTTACAACATAACAAGCGGTATTTGTAGCTTCCGCCCAAAAATATTTTGGCAAATTATTTTCATAAAGCATGGTTCTAGCCATTTCTTCTAAAGTTCTATTTTTCCTCTCAACAACTCCATTTTATTGAGGGGTTCTAGGTGCTGAAAAATTATGGCTAATACCATTAGAATTACAAAACTCAATAAATCCAAGATTTTCAAATTCAGTGTCATGATCACTCCTAACACTAGTTATAGAGTAACCTTTTTCATTTTGGATTATTTTTGAAAATGTGATGAAATGTTCTAATGCTTCATCTTTAGTACTTAAAAATAGAACCCAAGTATATCTAGAATAGTCATCTACCAAGACAAATGCATATTGTTTTCCACCCAAGCTAGTAGTCCTAGTTGGCCCAAAAAGATATATATGGATCAATTGTAATACTCTACTAGTTGATACGTCATTAATGGATTTAAAAGAAACTCGCTTTTGTTTTCCTTTAGCACAAGCATCACAGATTTTATCATTATCAAATTTAAGCTTAGGCAACCCTTGAACTAAATCACCTTGAATTAGCCGTTGCAAAACACTCATACTAGCATGTCCTAGTCTCCTATGCCATAACCAACTATCATGTTCATCCTTAGCAACTAGGCACAAATTAGTCATATCAATAGAATCTAAATGCACCATGTATATGTTTCCTATTCTATGACCAACAAGCATAATCTGATTAGATGCAATGTCAATGACTTTACAACCATTAATATCAAACATGACATTGAATCCCTTATCACAAAATTGACTAATACTTAATAGATTATGCTTTAATCCATTCATATATAAACCATTCTTAATTTGTATGGAAGAGATATTACCAATAGTACCAATACCTTCAATGTGACCTTTTGAATCATCACCAAAAGTCACTTCTCCTCCATTTTTGGTGTTAAGCTTAATGAACCGGCTTTTGTCTCCGGTCATGTGTCTTGAGCATCCACTATCAAGGTACCATGAGTTTGAATTTGTTTCCCGTACCTTGTAGCAATGCTCCTTTTCCTACAAATATAGATTAATTTCTAATTTTTGGTACCCAAATTCTTTTGGGTCCATATTCATTAGTTTCCAAAATCCTAGTCCCCTTAGGTTTTCATTTGTGTAGGATATCCTTATCTTTAGTAGTAATGAGCTCTTTAGGAACCCATATACTTCTAACGATTTTTCCATTAGAGGTTCTTTGGGGACCTCTATGATTGTAGTTTTTAAAACTTTTTCTAACAAAGTTGGATTTTGAATTTTCTCCATTTTCAAAACGTTTTGTTCCAACTTTATCAAAAGAAGCTTTGAGATCATCAATTTTCTTTTGATGATCATCATTGACCTTTGAAAGTAAATTTTGCAAATCTAAATTTTTATTTTCAAACTCTTCTAGTTTGATTTGTAAATCTTTGGTTTTACTTTCAAGATCGTTGTTGGTTTTGGATATGAGTTTATTTTCATTTTTCAATTTTGAAACATCATTTTTATATTTTAAAAACAATTTCTCATAATCCGAAGCCAACCCATTATATTCCTCTAATAGCTCATCATAGGATAAATCATCAAAATTAGATGAGCTAGAAGTTACCTTAGAATCTTCCCCGAATGCCATCAAGCACAAGTTTGCTACTTCTTGTTCCTCTTCATCGGAACCTTCTTCATCGCTCCATGTAGCCACATGAGCCTTGTGTTTATTCTTCGATTGACCCTTCCTCTTCAATTGTGGGCAATCATATTTGACATGCCTTGGCTTTTTTCATTCATAGCAAATGATCGGGTCCTTATCTTTTGGTTCATTTTTTAGGCCTTCATTTCGTTTGAATTTTCTTCCTCGGTAAGGTCTCATCATTTTTCTGAACTGTTTGGCAAACAATGACATTTCCTCGTCATCGTCATCTTCATCCGAATCACTCTCATCTTTTGTGGATTTGAGAGCAACTCCAATATTTTTCTTTTTCTTCTTCTCCTTCTCCTTTGGTGTCTCTTCAATTTTATCAAGGTCCACCTCATCTTCAAGCATCATTTCATGAGTGAGAAGTGAACCGATTAGCTCTTCAAGAGTTAAGGACGTTAGGTCCTTAGACTCAATGCTTGTTGTCTTCTTTGATTGCCACAATTTTGGGAGGGAGTAGACTAACTTCCTCACAAGATTTTCATTTGAAATGATCTCTCCATATGATTTGAGACCATTGACAATCGTTGAAAATCTATCTGTCATAGCTTTGATATCTTCATTTGGTTTCATCCTGAAATTTTCATAGCTATGCGTTAGAATATTAATTTTAGATTTTTTTACCTCATCGATACCTTCATGAGTGACTTGAAGTTTGTCCCATATTTCTTTGGCAGTTGTACAAGATGAAACTCTCCCGTATTCATATGGTCGAAGAGCAAAAAATATGATATGGATGGCTTTGGAGTTGAGCTGGAACATTTTTGTATCTCCTTCACTCCACAATCTTGGATGAGTGAGAGGCTTGATGTATCCTTCTACTACGACATTCCATGCTCCCATGTCACTTGCTTGAATGAAGTACATCATTCTATTCTTCTAATAGGCATAGTTAGCTCCATTGAAGAAAGGAGGCTTGTTGACGGGCATCGAATCGAGACCGGAGTCGAAGTTTGAAGCGGAGGCCATTGATGACTTTGATTATCGATATAACTCTTCCCGAATCGACTCAAGAGGCGATTAAACCTTCAAATGAGTTAGGCTCTGATATCAATTGTTGAGTTAATCGATTGACGGAATCGCCCAAGAGGGGGTGAATTGGCAATTAAAATTTTGGTGGAAGCTTTTGCAGAAAATTGAAAGTAATTGCATAGCGATTTAGAGTGGTTCGACTTTCTCAACCAAAGTTTACGTCCACTATCTTAGCTATCCACACTAAGGATTTTCTACAAATTCACTAATTTGTCTTTCTTTTGAGGACAAAGAGTAACCTTATAAACCCTCAAGAATTATATCCCAAATTCTTGAGAAAACTCTCTCCCAAAGAGAACAATACAAATTTGCAAACTTACAAGGAAATCCTTACAAGGTAGATTGTTTGCACAATTCTAGAACAAAGAAAAGAACACTAAAAAATGAATACAATTGAGCACAATAAGTGTTCTTGAAAGCAAAATGAATATTGAATGAAAAATAGGCTTGAAATGCTCAAACTTGAGGTTTGATGCTTTCTCTTTGATTCTCTCTTGATTCTAGTTGCTTGATGTTTCTTGTTATTGATCAATGGCTCCTAAGCTTGCTTAAATACACCTTGAATCACTTCTGAACGTTGGGGATGATTAGTGAAGATAATATAGTCGTTTTAGTGTGAAATCAATTAATAAAACAGCTTGGAGCGTGGGGGGAATCGGTACCCCTCTTAGGGAATCGATTCCCTAAGTGTAAAATTCAAATATTTCGACCGTTACATAGGGGGAATCGATACCCCTGGGGGGGAATCGGTTCCCTCCGAGCATTCTGGAAATCTCGGAGCCAAACCATTCAGGGGGGAATCAGTACCCCCTTGGGGGAGAATCGGTTCCCTCTGGACAAACTGTAATTTTTGGCTTTGAAATGGTTCGAAATACTTTGTAAAATTATTTTGAAATTGTTTTAAGATTAAAACTTAATTTTACACTTGAGTAAGGATTAAAAATGATTTTTGAAAGATTTGAAGTAATGATTTGATATTCGAATAAATATATCGAATATACTTAAAAAATCATTTGGGAAATCTTAAAATCCATTTATCTCAATTTGTTATATCGAAATATCAAAATGTATTCAACATATATTTTTCAAGATTTCCAGTACATTCCTTCTGTTTTTATGTTGTACACTGTACTGTTGCCGTTACTCCTAACTGAATTAGATTTGCTTACCAACCCATCAGCCTTAATTACTTTAGTAGATCATCTTGTTGTGAGCCCACTTCCTCAACACCAATTCCACTGTCGTTTTGAGTCTCTAATTTTGAAACCGATTTCTTACTTCCCAAATCTTCAATTTCTACCTCCTTTAGCCCTAATTTCATCGCGCTTAACCCCAATTCCCCTTTTATCTTCGATGTCTCTCTCCCAACCATGACATATTTGTAATATCATTTACATCTAAAATATTATTATACTTTTTCATTCAACTTAAATAATTATTTGACATTTTTAAAGTTTAAAATTTTCAAAAATTTATACATAAAAAGACATGATGATTTTTTATGAATATTATAATAAAATTTTAATTCTTTAATATTTAGATGATTTAATTTAAAGTCTACATTTTTCATCGTAGTTAGATGGGATTTTAGGGGCGGAGAAAGGTAAAAGGTGGCTTATAAAGGATGGGCAGGGGTGGACAAAAAAGTGTGTTTCATCTTTAAATTCAAAATTAAAATTCTTAAATGATACGTTTAGTCAATCACATCTTTCATTTAAATTAAGATATATATTAATAAGGATGTCACATTAAACAAAAATATATTCTATAAAATACGAACGTATTTAACAAGATATACTTTTATTTTACATGATAAAAATATATATAATTTTCATAAATATGTTTAGAAAGATGTTATTTTCAATAATAATAGAAGAAAATACATATTATATGCAAAATAAAACCGATTTTGTAAGCATAGGATTCCAAATATTGTCATTTAAAAAAACCCGTAAATATTGTCATTTGGGGAGTAGAAGAAAAAGTGAAACAGATACATATTTAATTGTAATTAGACAACAATAAAACACAAAATAGAAGGGGTTAAGCAGGGTTTTTCGTTACTTTTTTTTAATATTTTCTCTCACATATTATCTTCAATCCAGTATTTTATTTTCTTCTTGTAGTCTCTGAGCACTGCCTCTCGTCTATCCATGACTTTGCAGCCCTACCATCACCGGCGTCGGAGTCGTCGTCCGTCTACCTGCCACCGCCACCGCCACCCACCTACCACACCCGTTACAGGCTTCTGTGCGTCATGTCTCCGGGAACGCCTCGCGGGCATCCAACACGACTCTCCTACCACAACCCCAACTTCCTCCACCTCCTCAATCTCCCAGCTCCGCCGATCTAAATCCTGCTCCGGCGGCCATTACCCATCTTCCTCTGCCGCATCCGAGCTTCGCCGTAAGTCTTGTGACGTAAGACCTCATAATACTCTCCACGATCTTTTCGCCGTCGACGACGAAATACAAATCCTCAATGTCGACCTCCCTCCTTCAAATGTTGCATCTTTTCAAGGCTTTGAAGGGGGAGAAGAAGAAGGAGAGTTAAAAACGATGAAGGAATTCATAGATCTCGAATGTGGAAGGAAAAAAGCCTCGGGGAAATCTTTATGGGAAGCAGCTTCCCTTTTTAGCAAGAAATTGAGGAAATGGAAGAGAAACCAGAGCAAAAAGGAAAAAAACGATGGTTTGGTTCATGAGAAGGCAAGCGGAAGGGGATTAAGGGAGACCCAATCGGAGATCGGGGAATATGGGTTGTTTGGGAGAAGATCTTGTGATACTGATCCTAGATTATCAGTTGATTTTGGGCTTTTCTCTGTTGATGATTCAAGGTTTTCCATTGACGAGCCTAGGGCTTCTTGGGACGGTTGTTTGATTGGGAAACAGAACCCAAAGGTTAACGAGGAACCCAGTGTTGGGGAAGAGAGATTGAGTGTTGTAAAAGAGGAAGAAAGGGTTAGCCCTGGTGGGTCAGCTCAAACAAGAGATTATTATGCGGATTCTTTGACTCGGAGGAGAAGTTTTGACCGTTCATTGCGGAGTAGGAAGATAAGTTTAGGAGAAGCCGAGGATTTTAAGTCTTCGATTTCGAATGCTAAAGTGTCACCCGAGACTGTTGGGTTGTTTCATGGGGCGAAACTGTTGGTTACCGAGAAGGAATTGAGGGATTCGAATTGGTATTCTAATGTGGAATCTTGTTATAAGGATGTTGAACTTGCTACTAAAGGAGTGGTTGGTCAAAAAACGCTTAATTCGAGAAAGGCAAGGGGTTGGAAGAATGTATGGAGTATCTGGGGTTTGTTACAGAGGCGAAAACAAAGCGAATTTGGAGATGAAGTTAAGAATTTTGGAGGAGACGTAGGGAATGGGAGGCTAGCGGAGTCGGTGCAGAAGCTTAGAAGGGTGGTTAATGGAGATGAAGATAGAGGTATTGGAGGAAATGCAGGTGAAGGGACACATGTGGATTCATTGCAAAAGCTTAGGAGGTTTGCCGATGGAGGTCAAAGTAAAGCTATAGGAGGAAATGTGGATGGGACACTAGCGGAGTCGTTGCAGAAGTTAAGAAGAGTGGCCAATGGAGTTGAAAATGGTAATGTTGTAAGGGAGAAGCTTCTGCGGAGTTATAGTGTTAGTGCTCGGAATTCAGTTGATGGTTCGTCTTTCTATAGGATGAGTATGACCGATGCTAAAGGCAATGGTCCAAAGAGAAGGGATAATCATACGTTGCAGCCAAATAGGAGTGTGAGGTATTCTCCTAACAACCTTGATAATGGCCTATTGCGGTTCTACTTGACTCCATTGAGGACTTGCAGGAGAAGCAAATCTGGAAGTAGGCTAAGAAACTTGAACTCTATAGGTGGCAGTATACTTTAGTGGCGCTTAAATTTATTACCATAAGATTCCGTGTTGTAAAAATATTTGTGTTTCTCCATGTTCTATAGATAAAAAAGCAAATCGAATGGTAATCTTTGTTGTACTAAGAATTTGTTTTTTTCTAATAATGCAGCAATGGAAAATATGGAACAGTATCTTGATATTGTGTTAGTATGGTTAGAATTGTTGCTGAATTGGCTTAACTTTAACAAGAAATGAAACCACTTTGCTCAGAATTTCTGTTTTCCCCTTATTTGTGAAACTTTTAATCAAGTTGACTATGAGCGGACCCTGAATGTGTTAAAATTAGGATTTGTTTCTACAATGACATTGAGGTCTTTTGTGTTGTCTTGGGCTTGCAGTTGTTTAGTTATGCATCCTTTAGTCTACTTTTCTTTTGCTTTCCTATACTGGTCTGTGCTAGCGGAGCTGTCATACTTAACTATAGCAAAAAGATGGAGTTACTGTAGTATGTTTATCATGACTTGATATCATTTGGAAATAGTTTGTGATCAGTAGTTTCTTGAACAAGTTTTGAGACTTGTCTTTTTAAACTTTATTTGATGGAGTGCTGATTCATCTTCTGTAAAGAATTCTAGAAGTAGATCCTCTAAAATGGAACTTGTTAATCTCCTCTATCAGGCCAAAGACATCTTGAATAGTGTATCTATCTCTTAATCTGGAAAAACTAAGCAATCATATCATCTTAAACAAACTACGGCAATATATAGATATGGTTAGTATCCATCTCTTATAGTCTTGAAAAACTAAGAATTCTAAGAATCTTGTTCCTCATATATATACTTTCATACGAGAAATTCTGATATCTGCAATATTCTTCTTTTGATATGCAGAGAAATTCTTTCCTATGAAGCTGCCATTTTGGTGGCGCTGAACAATTGCAACCCTCTTTTTCTTTTTTTGTAAAGAAGGTATGATTAATTCGGAAATTATACACGGGAAGGGTTATATGTATCTCGTTAAAAACTTTCCTAACCTAATAGGAGGAAAAGAGTACACACATACCGCTTAAAGAAACAAAACAATACAACCAATAAGAGAAATCAACAATCAAACATAAACACCTTATACTACTGTACCCGACTCATCATAATAAAGTAATGACTCAACACCGGCAGGCGGAACCTCCAAATAGTGCACCTCAAAATCCTCCCCAGTAGACATTTTAGTCACAAAATCGGCCACTCGGTTACCTGCCCGAGAAACATGCATAAAATGAACCATCCAATTCCTTTGTACAAGAACATCAATGTGGAGAAGGATGGACAGCGTCCCTTGAGGCGGGTGGCTTGAAGAAGCCGGTACGCTTGGTGACAGTCAGTTTCTACTTCAACGTGCCAATATCCTCGCTCCCACCAATAATGATCTCCCATAACTCAATTTCCACTATCGAGCAAACACCGATAAATTTAAGAAACCCCAACAACCAATGCCCATAGCTGTCTCGCAGAACCCCACCACACGTGGCATTACCATTGGCTGAGTTTCTACCGCCATTCGTATTTATTTTAACTCAACCACTCCGAGGGCGCTGCCATGGGGTTCGATCAGCACCAACAATATTTCCAGCCGGCCGCGTAGATGAGACACACCTCACTTCCATTCCAGCTTCACAACAAATCTGCTGCAACCTCCTACTTTTGGCCAAAATAGATTCTGAGTTATCCATCGAAGTCGAAAACACCCTTCTTTTCAGAATGTCTTTATCTAGCACAAGAACCATCAACAGCAACAACAACAATAACATCCTTTTCAGAATTTGTTGTTTTCCATAAATATTTGCTTTCAGTGCTTTGAAAATGAAGGCGTTCCCTTTGTCTTTTACTAACCTTCCTGCCAATCCTAGAATCAAGGAGTTACCTTTTGAGATGTCAAACTTCCTTTTTAAAATATTTTCCATGAGAGAAATCAAGTTTTCAAATCTCTTCATCTACTTCTTTGAGAACATTGTGGACTCGCTTGTAGCAACATGGTAAGGATATCTAGGGGGAAAAAACATAAGCATCTTTACCTCTTCATCAACTTCAATAGCTCTATCATTCGGCACATGGGCCTGTTGTGCTTCAGGAGTCAGCAGAAGCTCTTGAAAGGTTATTGATAATGCGCACATACCCTGCAACACTACTCGAATTCAGGTCTTCTAAAAAAGCAACATTTCCTTTTACCATTAGAGGCCACTTAATGGGTTCGATATATTGAAAAGGTTGAATTTGAAGAAAGGGGGGAAATGTGAAGTTCATGGCCTCTTTTATCAAGGGTCGAGGTGTTGACTCAAGGCATGTTATTTAAGTGCATCTGCATGAAATTTATGAATCCATTGAAATGGATTCAATGGTAAACAAGAATATTATTCTCTTTAAATGACTCGGGTTCGAACAGTCTGTCTATAATGTACGTGGGCTTGAAGAGGAGGACTGAACAAAAAGAGAAGCTGGAAACTCCTACATTGCATTTGGTATAGGAAAACCAAGTGAACAATATCCCAATTGCAGCAGTAAGAATATTTAAAATTGAAAATCTACCAAACTATGCATCTAAAGTAAACCACTAGATCATCTCAAGATTTGTGCACTATGAAATAAATTAGTACTAGGATACCTATCAGACACCTTTTAGTTTAGAATAAAACTGAGGTAAATGAATTCCCTTTTTCAATTACATATCTAAATTTAGAAGTGTAATGCTTGATAAGTCAAATAAAGAGCAAAAAATTCTATATTTTCTAACGAGTGAAGGCATAAAGAACAATAAGTCTATAGAAAACAAGAGCGGAAGGGACCAAAACTACCAGAGGACCAATGGCAAAAAAACTGTAAAGACTCCCACAACTCAAAGTCCCCAGCTTAATCTGAACCAGAGCCACCAAAGCCATCATCAAAAACCCACATCCGAAAACCGAACCAACACCTGAAACCAACATCCCGACCCTCAAAGCCATCAAGTTCACATCTACAAGACCGGCGCCAACTCCACGAGCTGCCGAGTCATTGCTATCTTTTCTTATCTTGATGGCTTGTTTGATGGCTGATGCAATTAGGCTAGAGAAGAGGAAAGAGCTGAAGGAGTAGACGTGGCATGCGATGAGGTTCTCGGCAAGGTCGGATCGGGCGGCACAGGAGGCAGAGGAGTTGGCGTCTATGAGGGTGGGAGTAGGGTACCATGCAATGCCAAGGAATAAGGCGAAGGTGAAGAGCGAGTTGACGTTCACTATACCGTCTAGTGCCATTACATGGATGGTGGTGACGCTAATCTTGCGGCTGAGGCGGACGGTGGATGTGGACGGAGATGGGGCAGAGGAAGGTGGAGGAGAAAAGAGAGATTTCAGGGTATACATTATATTGGTTTAGGAATTGAAGGTTGCTTTGGTGATTCAAATAAGAACTGAAAGAAAAGTGAAGGAAACTTTTGGGACTTGTTTTGCGTGGATTTCCCTCCACGTCAAGAGTTGGTTGGAAAATAAAGAGGCATAATGATAAAATTAACCATTAGGTTGCATTTGGTTCACGAAATGTAAGATTACCAGTGAGAATGTAAGATTACCAGTGAGAATGTAAGATTATCAGTGGGAATGTAAGATTACCAGGGAATAGGATTACTGGGAATGTTGTATTTTGTGTTTGGTTGGTTTAGCAGGAATGTAAGATTACCGTGTTTGATTAAAGGAATAAAAGATTATTGGAATGTATATTTGACCAAATTGTCCTTATTATATATTTGTTTTTTAACAAGTTGAAAAATATTTATATATTTTCTTTAAAAATTTAAATTCATAAATTATATATATATATATATATATATATATATATATATATATATATATATTTTATAAAATTGAAAATATAAAAAGGTTTAATCTAAGGGTAAAATTTTATTTTAACCCATAAACTTTATATAAAATTTTAATTATAGATTTTTTTGTAAATCTAAAATAGTTTAAAGATAAATTTATAATTTAACATTCGTAGAATTTTTATCATTCAATGACATAATAATGATATTTTTGAAAAAAAAAATTAAGGGCATTTTAGTCCAAAACGTCGGTAATCCAACAATACCTTAGGAAAGGGAGGTAATGACATTCTCGGTAATATACCCCAAAAAATCTACTATTGGTAATATAAGATTACCGGGAATGACATTCCCGACTAACCAAACGAGGGAATGTGGATTTTATTCCCATGGAAATCACACGTTCTCCCAACCAAACACACCCTTAATGTTTGAGAAATAATTATTTTGATTTTTTAAGTATATTAATCTCTAATGTTTCATTTTATGACAAAATATCTCATAGTTTAATAAAAGCTATTAATTGACTAATAATCTACGTTGATATGATATGTTCACATAAACAGGAATGCTAGCATGGTATGTTCAATTTAATTTATATTATAATTAATATGTTTTCATAAATATATAATTAATTTACTCTAAATATATATGTGGGTCAAAATATAACAAGTAAATTGTCTTGGTGATTAGGCATTAAACCTTCCCCCACTACGTTAGGGATCAATTGATTATTATTAATTTAATAAAAAATAATTAATTAATTTAAATTATTTTTTACTAATATCACATGTCATATCAATTTCTAATCAACGTCAACATGTCACATTAACAGAAAACGTTGATTATTAATCAATAAAATGTTTTCATCCAACTAGAAGATATTTTATCTCAAAATAAAATATTGAAGATCAAAACACTTTTAAAATATAGATGTTACAGTGGCTATTTTATTAAACATTAGTGCTAATTTTATTATTATACAAAATAAATATATAAGAAAATAAACAATATCCTTGGAAGAGAAACGACTTCATTACCAGATAAATACCCATAACCCTCCTGACTCGAAGCTTAGAATTTGGTAAGGTAATAAGGTATCACCACGGTATAATTGCAATAAAATATATATTACTATTTTTCAGAAATTTATTATAATTTTGAGTGAAATTTAGTGAATGCTATGCAAGATGTTTGCATCAATGATTTCCACCAATGGGTTGAATTCAAATTCATCATAGGCACCGTTAGTAGTTGTGTATGACGTCCATGCTGGTTTAAGAATACAAAGAAAGAATGTAATAAAGTTGAAATAAGAGATGGTAAATATATGAAACTTTAAATTCAAATAAATATTGATTTCACAGTATACGAGGTCTTCAAATTTTTCTTAAAAAATCAATGTATTATTAAACTATTATTTCTCAACCTGATCTTCAAATTCAAGATAATATAATTTTAATATTTAAAAATAAATTAAAAATCATTAAATAATATTACATTTTTAATAATTTACGTCTTCAAAATTTTAAGGGCTAAATTTATAAAACATTAAACCTAAAAAAACTTTAGAAAATTACGTAACATTTTTTCTATAACTGCTCAATCAATAAATAATAATAAAATAAATAAAAATTAATAAAGATATTAAAATATTCAACTAAAGATAATATTAAAATTTAAAATATCGAATAATACAAAATTACAAACTTATTTTCTTGTACGAAAAGAGTATTACATAATTAAAAATAAACAAGCATCAAGGGACATGAATAAACTATGAGCTAATTGCATTATATATCCTTAAATTATAAATTTTATTTTAAATTAGTCTTTAAACTTTTGAATATTTTAATTTTATCCTCAATTTATGACTCTCATTTTAAATTAGTCCTTAAACTTTTAAACATTGTAATTTCATCCATAAACTATCAACCTATTTCTAATTTGGTCCCCAAACTTTTGAAACTTCCAATTTCATCCTCAAATTAACCCACATATGTAATTAGTTTCAACCCTAGTTTAACATAAAATTTGTTCCTTTTTTCAAAATATAATGATATAACTTGACATAACAATTTTATTAACAAGAGATGTGATTAATATTTATGTATAGTTTGAGATAAAATAAGAATATTCAAAAAGTCTAAGAACTAATATAGATTAAGGTTATAGTTTCAGGATGAAATTGAAATGTCTAAAAATTTAAAGACTAATTTAAAATGATATTAACAATTTAGGAAAAAATTGATACATTTAAAAGTTTAAAAATTAATTTAAAATAAAAATTATATTTTATAGACATATAATACAATTATCTCGTAAATTATCAATCGGACAATACTTGTACCAAAAAATTACCTGCAGAAACATTGGGAACTATAGTGTGCACCGCACGGGATTGAACCTCGAGAAAAGAAAAATGCAGGGACGATATATAGGCTATTTGTCCAAACTGACACGGTTTCCCTTAATATTTACTTTTTTAGCACCGTTTGATATATATTTTCCGAAGTGGCACCCTTTCGGCTGAGCTGGCGAAAGGCGCATCCCCGGAGATGCGTTTTACCCGGGTTTTCGTTGAGTTGGATGTCACGTGTGGAAGGCGCATCCCCGGGGACGCGCCTTCACGGGATTCTGAGGACTCGACTGCCACGTGTAACCGAAATGCCATGTCCGTTGCAAGAGATTGAAGCTAACTCTTTCAGAGTTAATCTGCAAGAGAGGTGATGCGATTGTGGTTTCTTTCAAGCACTCAAATATACATGCTCTCATGTCATTGCAGCTTGCTCACATTCGCAATTGGACTACAAAAATTATGTTGATCCCGTATATCAACTTTCACAAGTATTCAAGGTATATGAATTTGAGTTTCTGCCCATAGGAAACGAAAGAGACCCAAATGAGATTCAAACTTGGCTTACAATTGTACCAGATCCATTGCTATTGAGGGACTCATGTCGTTCAAAATCTACTAGAATACATTGTGATATGGATATTCGGGAGAAGTCAACAGAACAAAAACGATGTGGGCATTGTAGAAACATCGGGCACAATAGAAAAAATTGTTCAGCTCTTTTATCATCATATAACCGTTAACTCTTATGTAATTAATATTTTATTTAAATGAATGTTTTTGTTTCTAATAATTTAATGTTATTGCATTTTATATAATTTCTCAATGTATGTACACCTAAATATTTTTTTTTAATTTTTAAATACATAAATATTTTCAATATATTTATTTAATATAATAATTAATATATTTATTCAATATATTTTCATGTTCTGATTGGAGGATTAAATTTATTAAATTAAATTTTCAATAAGACTAAAATCATTTAATATGTAAGTCTTGAATATTAAATGTGTAATTATACTAATTTATTAACTTATGCATCAATATTTTCGTTAAATATTGATAAGAGATTACTAGATTGATAACATTTAAATATTTAACTCATAAAATTAATAGATCAATAATCAAAAAAAAAAATAATAATACAAACATATGTGTAATAGTATAATTTCATACATTTTTCCTATAACTACAATAAAATCAAAACTGGTTTTCATATATTATTCTATCATATTAATGTAGATAATTCACTCCACCTTTAACACACACTAACAAAATACATTTGATAATTCTTACATTATAATCGAAACACTTTACATAATATATTACTAATTTATAATAATAATAATAAAAATAAAATATTTATTTATATTTATTATTAAACAAAATACCAGCGTGGCAGCCGAGTCATCAGAACCCCGTGAAGGCGCGTCCCACACGTGGCATCCAACTCAGCGAAAACCCAGGTAAAGCGCGTTCCCAGGGATGCACATTTCGCCAGCTCAACCGAAAGAGTGCCACTTCAAGAAATATATATCAAACGGTGCTAAAAAGATAAATATTAAAGAAAATCGTGTCAGTTTGATCAAATAACCCGATATATATATACCCCTCTGTCACTGAAAATAAAATCACTCTGCCAGCTTGCTCTTATTCATCTTTGACCCACCGTATGCTCTTTAAATATTCATTCCCTCATAAAAATTAAAAAGGGACGAAAACTGTAATAAAAATAATAATATTCTTTTCAAAAATCAAAATAAAAGCCAGACTCCAGTCGTCCGTTTTTCGTTTCATCTCATTCTGCAATTCTTCTTTTTCTTACCTAAAAATTTTCAGTGTAGTTTTTCTGAACTTATCATATTTTCACTTTGAGAAAATTTTCTCCGCCATCTATCCATTTCTGGTAAGTTCAAATGGGTTTAGATCTCTCGCTTTATTTATTTTTTGGTTTAATGTTTTTTTGGGTGATCTTGCAGGTTTGAGAGAGAAGATACGGTAGAGAGAAACAGAGAGTGAGTAAAGAGTGTAAATGGCGCATAGAGTAGATTCCGAGTATGATTACCTTTACAAGATCGTGTTAATTGGCGACTCCGGAGTTGGAAAATCAAATATTCTCTCCAGATTCACCAGAAATGAGTTTTGTTTGGATTCTAAATCAACTATTGGCGTCGAGTTCGCCACCAGAACTCTCCAGGTGTTTGATTCATCTTCATATATGATTTTCTTTTTCTGGTTGGCAATCATTAGTTCTTTAAGTTTCTAAATTTTGACATTGTAATTCCTCTTGCCTTTGATAGCTTGAAGTGTGTTTGACATTTCATCTGATTTAGTTTTTGAAAAATTTACATGAAGGATCAGAACGCATCCTCTCTCTATATATATTGTAAAAAAATTTAAAATTTATTCAGATTTCGATGTGTGAAAATTGATTTCAATAATTAATTTGAACTCAATGATCCTAAATATGTATAGAATTAAAAAAAATTACATTATATAATTGGATTTTGTAGGGGTGGATGTTCAATCTAGTTGAGTTAAATTTGTTTGAATTATTCGAATTGACGATTTCTATTTTATAACTTAAACTTGATTTTAAAAAAATCGAGTCGAGTTTATAAAATTCAAGTCTAGTTGAGTTTTTGAGTTTTTTTTAAATTTAATTGTTAATATTTATAAAATTATAATATTATGTTATTCAAATTTAAATAGTTTTTTATAATCATATATATATATATATATATCTTCATATTTTTCTCATATGTGATATACATATACCATACAGAGTTGAAGGACTCGATTCTAATATTATGATATTATGTGATTCCAATTTAAATGATTTTTTATAATCATATACAATATATATACATTTCTTCATATTTTTCTCATATGTGATATACATATACCATACAGAGTTCAAGGATTCAATTTAAACTTGAAAATCAATCCACTAATTAGTAAAAACTTTGAGTTATTTGAGTTACTATTTGAGTTGTATTGTATAACTCAACTTACTCAATGATCCTAAATATGTATAGAATTAAAAAAAATTACATTATATAATTGGATTTTGTAGGGGTGGATGTTCAATCTAGTTGAGTTAAATTTTTTTGAATTATTCGAATTGACGATTTCTATTTTATAACTTAAACTTGATTTTAAAAAAATCGAGTCGAGTTTATAAAATTCAAGTCTAGTTGAGTTTTCGAGTTTTTTTTAAAATTTAATTGTTAATATTTATAAAATTATAATATTATGTTATTCAAATTTAAATAGTTTTTTATAATCATATATATATATATATATATTTCTTCATATTTTTCTCATATGTGATATACATATACCATACAGAGTTGAATGACTCGATTATAATATTATGATATTATGTGATTCCAATTTAAATGATTTTTTATAATCATATACAATATATATACATTTCTTCATATTTTTCTCATATGTGATATACATATACCATACAGAGTTCAAGGACTCAATTTAAACTTGAAAATCAATCCACTAATTAGTAAAAACTTTGAGTTATTTGAGTTACTATTTGAGTTGTATTGTATAACTCAACTTAAACTATTAATTTTTTTGAGTCGTGTCGAGTTTATGAAATTACAACACGAAATTAATTCGAGTCGAAAAAATCGATTTTTGGAATCGGGTTTTGCTTACGTGTAAGAAATGTTGAGGAGTGCGTTATTTCAAAGTTGTTTTTTTTTCTCTTTTGATGTCTATTTTATTTATTAAAGTACTAAAAGTTGGAAAGACTAGAGGGGTTCTTTGTTAGTGAGGACATGTCTGTTTTCATTTTCTCTCTGTGTTTCCATGTTATTTTATTAAATTGAGAATTAAAATTTCTCTCTGAAAATGAAAATTAAGTTATTAAATTAATCCTAGCTGTTATTATGCTGTTTTATTCCCATTTTCAGTATTGGAGAGTATATTGTTGTATTTTATTGGCCCATGACTTAGTGATAGCTGTACATTTGATTCTGATAAAGACAATCAATTTCTTGTATTGGTAAGCCTGTCATCTTGGATTTTTTAAAACATTCTTTTGATTCTCTGTTAATTGTTTATGTTGTTCAGATTCTCTGATTTTCTTAAACATCCATGTTTGATATTTATATTTGGCACATATTTGAATATGGTTAATAGTGTTATGGAGGTAGGAGAATATACAAAATTTTCAAAAAGTTAAGCATACTAAAAAGTTTGACATCCGCTCAAATTTAGATAACCTAGAACAATGGAATGAAATTTGGTTATTTTCTAGGGTGGGTATATATATATACCTATAACATAAATTTTTCGTATAAGGTGAACACAAATAAAATTTTAGGGATATCTTTAGTAAAATGAATAACTAACTAAAAGAAATTCGGATTGTGCGCACCTTAAAATTCACTTACATCCGTCACTAAGTTTCATAGATTAATGGTAATTCAGGGATTAATGGTGCTAGGTATGTTGTTGCATTGCTGGGAATTCAAATCCATGTATAGTTTATGTATTTTTTTATATGTTTTATTGATGACTTAATTTCGTTCATTTGAAATTTTTAGTATAACTTTTTAAATTTATATCTCTGACATAAATTTATTGGTCTGTCTCTGAATGGTATGTAATTTGCGGTTAACTTATGGTTTTTTTTTTAATATAGGTGGAGGGGAAGATTGTGAAGGCACAGATTTGGGATACGGCAGGTCAGGAGAGATATCGAGCCATTACTAGTGCTTACTATAGAGGAGCTGTTGGTGCACTTCTTGTCTACGACATAACCAAGAGGCAAACCTTTGATAATGTTCAAAGGTGGCTGCGTGAATTGAGGGACCATGCTGATTCCAACATCGTTGTCATGATGGCTGGAAATAAATCCGACTTGAATCATCTCCGAGCGGTTTCTGAGGACGATGGTCATGCTTTGGCAGAGAAGGAAGGTCTTTCGTTTCTCGAGACCTCAGCACTTGAAGCAACCAACGTTGAAAAGGCATTCCAAACTATATTGAATGAGATCTACCATGTTACAAGAAAAAAAGCATTGGCTGCCAAGGATGCAGTCGCGGCTAACGCCACAGTTCCCGGCCAAGGAACCACCATTAGTATCGCTGGTGCATCAGGAAACACCAAGAAAGGATGCTGTTCCACATAAAAGGATGATTGGATATATTTGTTGGCAAGCATGCCTACCCTTTTCTTTATTATTTATTTCTTTTCCCCTGTTTTTTATTCTTTATTTATCCTTTTTCCAAATGTTTAGTTGAGAGAGCCATTTAGAATAATTATTTGTATGAATTTGGTTTCATTTTTTTTTCACAAGTCGCTAGCTTGTAATAAAAGTGTCTCCTAGACTTGCTCTCCCTATATTTAGGTTTGTGGTTGTGAGAATTGAACGGCTCAAATATTAGACCATGTCTGAATTCAGCAGCTTCTATTATATACTTGTATAAAACAATCCGTAGTTGGTGGCCGTTTGACCAGTACAGAAAAGGGCAGATGGTATTGAATGCACTGCCCGTTAGAGTGAGCTGTCGATCTAATTAAATTAAACCAAATTAAAAGATTTTGAGTTATTTGAGTTATCGTATTCTATTTTTTTTTATTTTGCTAAAACAGTAAAGTAATAGAAAAAGATTAACTAGATCTTAGCAGGTCTTTCTGCAGAATATCATGCATCTCCCTTGGTGGCTCCAGAAACTCCATAACTCCAATAGCTTTTCCACGGCTCCATCTGGCTAAATAATCTGCAGCAGCATTTTGTTCCCGGAAAACATACCGACACTCCGTAATCCAATCGCCATCTCGAAGCTCATTGATAGCATCCACCAAAGCACTCCCCAATAACGCCTCGGAATTACAGTGCCAAATTTTTGTAGCTTCCATATTATCCGTTTCCAACTCCCTCGCCGCTGCCATACTATCATTTGTTCGAACAGCCCCATCGGAATTTGCTTTAACCCATCCAGTCTTGGGCAAAGTCCACAATAAATTGTTTCGAAGTAGTCTGGATTCCACCCTAACATTCGGGACAATGGCCGAGGAAAACTCATGCGCTAGCCGGTTGCAGTGAGTGAGAAAATCTTCTCTTTGAACGTAGTTGGGGTCCATAATCAAACTACATCTAAGCTGCCAACAGATGACAGCAAATTTAATGTTCCAATTCTCCTCATTTCCAATGAACGACCCAGGCGAATAAAGGTTAAGCTCAAACCATTTCACGTATGGCAGTGATAAAAAATCCTGCAGTCTATCCGGACGAACCACTCTGAACCAAACACACCTTGCCATACTGCAGTATCTCAGAACATGGTCGACATTTTCAGGTTCTCTACAGCAGACAGGAAACTCCGTTGTATTTGAAAAATGACGACGTGAACGTTTAACATTTATTAGCAAACGGTCTTGGATCGATAGCCACAGGAAAACTTTAACTCTCTGTGGAACCTTCAGACGCCATAGCCGTCTCCAATTTATAGCAGTATCCTCTCCTCTTGTTGCACAAGGAAACTGTATGCTGACTTGGTTGAGAATCGTCTGTCGGATTCCCATCGCCAGCCAGGGGAGTCAGGGCCTAAGCGAGCCTGAGGCGGTTGCATAGCCGCAATGCGTTCAACCAAATGTGTCGGAAGCATCGTCTAAATTTTCTCCCAATCCCAAGAACCTGATGGTAATGTCATCGCACAAACAGGCATAGGAGGAGGAGACTCAGATCCTATGTAGGAGAAGACAAGTCGACTTTCGGTATCTAACCAAGATCATACCAAAAGTCAGTATCTCTACCATCCCAAATATTCCAAGAAATGCTCTCGAGAGGCTCATCCCAAATACATCGCATCCCTTTCCACAACCGGGAACCATTCTTATTACTAAGCATGAATGGAAATGGGTCCTCCCAATTATATTTGCCTCGGACAGCTGGAACCCAAAGTTTGTTAGGTTGCGATTTGAGTTGAAATCCAACCTTTAACATGAAAGCCTTATTCTGTTGGTATAAGTTACGTAAACCCAATCCTCCTCTATCCATAGGTTTCTGCAAAATATCCCATTTGACAAGGGGAATTCCAGTTTTTCCATTGTTCGCTCCCCACACAAATCTCCGAATAATTTTCTCCATTTCCTCACAAATTCCTTTTGAGAGCCAAGTCGATTGCATAACATACGTCGGGATGGTCTGTAGAACCGCCTTAGCAAGCGTAATACGGCCGGCCAAAGAAAAAGTTCTCGCTGTCCACCCTGAGAGACGCTGGTTCATTCTCTCCAAAAGATAGCAATAAGTGGCCTTAGTGATTCTTCCATGTAACAAGTGAACACCAAGATATCTCCCTAAATCGTTAACCTCCTCAAAACCGAAACTCCGTGCAATTTGATTCCTTTTATCCGCCAGACAGTTCTTTGAAAAATAAATTTTCGTTTTAGCCATACTAATGCGGTGCCCAGACTCCATACAAAATCGATCAAGCACATCTTTAACAATACCCACTTGGTCCATAGTTGCTTCGGAAAATAAAACAAGATCATCCGCGAAAAAGAGAGAGGATAAATCTGGGCCATTTCGAGAAAGACGAACCTGCTACCAATCACCCGAGACAACCTTATTCTCAATCGCCTGAGATAATCTCTCCATACAAAGAACGAAAAAATAAGGTAATAATGGATCTCTTTGACGAATTCCCCTCGTGGGTTTAAATGTATCCGTCAACTCACCATTCCAAAGCACCTGAGTGGACACTGATCTTACACACTGCATTACGCGAGCAATGAATCTTTCTGGTAAACCAGCAGCGTCTAACGTATCCGCAATGTAATTCCACTCCAATCGATTGTATATCTTTTCCAAGCCTACATTAATGGCCATCCATCCCTTCGTCCAGATTTTTTAACCATCGTGTGTATCACCTCCTGAGCTAAGATGATATTGTCTGTAATTTGTTGCCCAGGGACGAAACTTGCTCGAGTCTGTGCCACCCATTTCGAAAGGAACGGTTTTGACCGATTGACAAGCAGCTTAGTAATAAATTTATACAAGACATTACATAAGCTAATTGGCCGGAATTGACAAATTGAAGTTGGGTTGCTTATTTTTAGGAATCAGAACCAACAAGGTACCGTCATCAAAGAATTGTTTCACAAAGTTAAATACCTAGCTCCCCACAAGATTCCAATTCTTCTGGTAAAAAGCCACATGAAGACCATCAATATCCGGTGTTTTTAATGGTGCCATTCTAAACACTACAATACGAACTTCCTCCATTGTGATATCAGATAAAGTGTTTTATTTTATAATTCAAATCTTATTTGAAATTTATTTGAGTTGAAATTCTGTTTAAAATTAATTATAAATATTTATAATATTATGATATTATTTGATTTCAATTTAAATGATTTTTTATAATTATATACAATATATATATATATATACTTTTATATTTTTTTCCATATGTGATATACATATATCATAAAGAGCAAGAGTTTTGACTCATTTAAAAATCAATTTATTAAGTATTAAAATTTTGAGTTATTCGAGTTACTATTTGAATTTTATTTTATAATTCGATTCAAAATTTAAATTTTTTTTGAGTCAAATTGTATTTATGAAATTATAATTAGATCAAGTAGAAGAAATCAATTTTTTTATTCGACTTTTATTCTCTTTACTGTCCATTGCCCTTGACAGTTGGGGTACTGAGGAATAAAACCAAAGCCGCTAATAAGTGATAACCACGCACATCATGTTAGACAATAATTATCGTCAACGGACTTGGACAAAGACACATAATTTGCGGCGACCAGTTTCAAGAAACTACACAAGCAGTGATTTAGTTAGAACATTAGCTGCTTAATATTCGACTGGAACGTAGTTAACTTGTAACAGCTTAGATAGTAGATACTCTCGAACAAAATAAAAGCCAAAATCAACAGACTTGGTCTTTGCATTTTAGCTGATATGGGAGTAAAACTTGATGATATTTCCAAAATATGGTGGGATAACACCTCCACATTACATGCATCAGCCAAGCTTCTATGTTTTGCTTCGACTGTAGAGCGTGAAACTGCCTCGAGCTCCAGGATAACAGGTGTTCTCCATAGAAAACACAGTAGCTAGAAACTGATCGACGGTCATCAAGATCTCCATCCCAGTCTGCACCGGAGACGGATACAAGTCAAACCGAGACTGCCCATCGGAGCTGATGTAGCACTCAACTTTGGTACAAGAACTTGTGTGACTCTGGAAGCTGGTATACAAGATAGTAGAGGGAGTGAAGGTGACTCAAAAGAAGGATTATTTGGTAATGACAGCAAAAGGGGAAATCTGCTCATAAAAAAGGTGTCGTGACACAAACACGCATCCATCGGTTGCAACTGATAACCATGGTGAGAGGGTAAATATCCTATAAAGTCACACGACTGAGAATGATAATCTAGCTTGTGTTTGATGTAAGGACGAAGATAATGATAGCACCGACTCTCGAATACCCTGAAAAAAAATCATAAACACTTTTTCTTCCATATAGTTTTTGGAACGTTTCGTAGGTAGGATGTTAATGATATTTATAGCACTCAATACAGCGTACGACTAGTACTACTTCATAGGCATAGAGGACCGCACAAGCAACGTGAGAGTAGTCTCGATAATTTGACGGTGTCTGCCTTCAACAACATCGTTCTACTGAGGTGTGTGGGCATGTTAAACGGTGTCGGATACCACTTAGTGCAAGCTTTTGTTTGAGGGCTAGGAAATTACCTATCCATCTGTTTGGCTGTCCCTTGTTCCCATATGTTTCCAAGGAGATATACCCCGAAGTATTCCGTTATACAGAAACAAGCATCGACATTGGCTTGTTGATTCGCCGGTTGTTTGAACTGATGTGATGAGAAAGAGCCTTTAAAAATTCTGGTCGAAACGATGACGACTTGCCATGTCACTGCTGCGAACAAGTCACAAATTTCCATTACTTGCACATGCTTCTTTGTCTGATTTGAATATCAATAATTGCAAAATATTAATACTTAAAAGGAAGTTAAAAATACGCGAGAATTTATGAAAAAACTGAGTTTTCAAATTGAAGGAGATTTTTGGGATGTTGTTGTCGAGTTCACAAGGCTAGATGGATATTAGGTTATAGGGCTCGATTATGGGACGACCACTTATAAGATGTTTTGAAGGTAACTTTAATATTGATTGGTATTGAAATATCTAGATATTATATTTTGTCGGAGATGTAAGAACCAATATATAAAATATGGTAGTATGGGTAATTGCGAGATATTAAGCGAGACTTGTGTATTTTGTGTTTGTTTGATTCTAGTTTAGGAGATGTTCCGTAAAATGTAAGGGTTTATAGTTAGGGATGGGCATGAGTCCGGTTTCGGTTAACTGATTCGATCCGAAAATATATATTCTCCACCCGACCCGAATCTGACCCGAATTTTTGAGATAAAATCCGAACCTGATCCGGTCCAACCTGAAATAATAATAAAAATATTATTTTTATTCAATAAAAACAATGATTTAATGGGAAAAATAATATATAGAGGGATATTATTGTAATTATTCCTAAATATATAAGATAAAATTATATTTTTTTCGGGTTAGATATTTTTCACCCTAAACCCGAATCCGACCCGAACATCACCTTTAAAAATATTCGACCCAACCATACCCAAACATAAAATTTAATAAAACCCCGATCTGATCCGATCGAAATCCATCGGGTCGGCTTCCATACCCATCCCTATTTATAGCTGTGCTTTAGTAAGGAGAGTTTTTAGAATTGTTTTTGATCCGTAGTTTAGGATACGTTCAATAAAATGTTACTGTTTAGTTAAGAATGTGGATTTTTAAATAAGATAAAATATTTCCTATGTAAAAAAAAAAGACAGAACAGATCATTTAGCTATTCGAAGTCGATTCAGTTAATATTCAGTTAACACTCAAAATAAAGGATATGAATCGAGTTATTAACAAATCGAAGCGAGTTACTTGATCTCAAGTCAAAAAACTCGAAAGCAACTCGAAAAAAATAATATATTAAATTTTAATTTTAAAATTAAATTATTAATATTGTAAACATTTATATGTTATTTTTTTAAAATACAATATAATATTTTCATGTACGGTTGAGGTTTGAGTTCAAGTTTAAGCTTCAATCAAGTTAAGTCTGAGAATATTTCGAGTTCAGAATTTTTTAAGCACAGTCAAACTTTAATTTTTCATTTTAAGTTGATCTTTAATTTTTTATTTCAAATATGAGTTGACAATTTTAAACTCACAAACTTTAAAATCGAGTCAAACTCATTTTAAATTTTTTTTTAAACCGAGTCACAATCAGTGACACTTGACAAAAAATCCATCTGCGCTGCAATGGGAAAAAATTAAGGATTTAATATCTAGTAGAGAGAGATAACAAAAAATACTGGTCGTACTAGAAATAAAAAAGGGGGGAGAGAGAGGGGGGGTGTTTTCGAACTTTTATCACAAAACAAATGGCGTTTGCAAAGCCTTCATATAAAAACAACGAAAAAGAGCGTATTTATCGGCCGGAGAATTTTGCTTTCATAGATATAGAAGAATAGGTTTCTCCGTCACATCGGAGTTGCAGCCACCATTAGCCACCGTCTTGATTTTAAAAAAATATATTTTTATTTTTTATATATTGAAATGTTATTTTTATCCCACACAGGAAAATATTAATTAATTAAAAGTAAAGAAAAGAAAAGTCAGGCCACATTGTTCTCCGCGTCTTTTCTTTTCAAAATATCCCCCAAGGAAGACTCAGTTCAAAAAGCTGAGAAGAGAAAAAGCAAAGAATTAGGCTTTCTTTGTTAGAGAGATTATTCTTTAAATTGCTCATTTTATGGGATCTGCTTCGATTGACCCTGCTCTTTTGGATGATATCATATGCCGTTTATTGGAGTTTAAGCTTGCGAGGCCAGGGAAGCAAGTCCAGCTGATGGAAGGTGAGATCCGTCAGCTTTGCACCGTTGCAAGAGAAATCTTTCTTCAACAGCCTAATCTTCTTGAACTTGAAGCTCCCATCAAGATATGTGGTACGATTTTGTTACATTTTTTTGTTTTCGAATTGAATGATGATCGAAATTCATGTTTTAGGTCTTTTGATATTTAGTTTTTGGCTTCACGTGTTTGAATTTTGATTGTATGAAATAAATTTGAAAATTTGAAGAATCCTTCCCCCGTTTTTAGAAAATTGATTGGGTAATGGAAACGGTGAAATTTTTTAACCATTGGAGCTGCTGCATTGAAGGTTTTTGCCTACATTTCATTAATTTAAAATTAATTTTTATGTCTTCGTTCTTGGTATGATTAGTTTCTAATCCTGTTTTCCTGTTTGAATTTTTTTTTGTCTGGAATAGATTGCAAATGAGGTTGAATATGTACTTTATCAGCTATGGATTACCTCTGCCATGCATATATCCTTAGTTAGATGAGATTGATTGTCCATGTGAAAATTTACCGTCTCGATGAATTGCTTCTTTTAGATTTTATAGCGTATTAATGCTTGAGGGGGAGGGCTAGGGCTACAATCTAGATAAAACGATGCCTTATATGGGTTTGCTGCTTTTCTTCGTCTTACTTGATGATGTGCCGGCTGGAAAGTCCTCTAGTTGGAGAAAAGTCAGCTAATGTAAACGATGGATGGGGAAAACATGATATATATGTTAACCATCACGGACTACTCAATGGATTGCGGGAAACCATTTCTTGGTGGCTTTTTCCATGATGAGCTAAGGGAATATTGAATAAATGATAGAGCCACATGATTAGTAAGGAGCCATAGCATTAAGGAAGTGTTCACTATAAATAAAGCAAGCAAAAGAATCGCATTATGTAGAAATTCTTTATCTTAGACTTAGACAATCATAATGTATAAGAAAAGAAAATGAGGTAAAAGTTATGTTATCATTGCTGGAATCTATGGAGGGTTTGAGAAAATCGTTGCAAAAAACTCTTCAACAAACATGATAAAATTGATGATATCAGGTTGTCCTTTTTAGGAGGATAGAATTAGAACGGATTGATCATCAACATATGCCCTTTAAATGAGTTAAAATAACTACATGGAAATAAACATCTTAGGTTATCACCTTTCTATTTTTTGGAGATTGCAACTTGCAAGTCTATGCAATGATAGGAACCTTTTGCTCACAAGCTTTAGATTTTTCTGCTTTGGTCTATTGCATTTCATTTCTCTATGATATATCCATGGGGTTTTTCTGATGGCTTCTACAGGAAACTAATGTTGGTGCCTGATTGACCAAACTCAAAGTTCTTATATATTGTGTCATAACCATTTTTTTTAAATCAATGGTAATGAATCATTTACACCATTGTGACATATTCCCTAATAAGTACATATAGGACAAAATGATTGCTCGTCTTTTTTATTTCAATAGTAACTTTTGAAGGATAGTACCAAAAGCAGATGAAATAATACTTGTTTGGTTTTACTTGGTGATTCCATCATGAAGAGATATGGCCAAGTAGCTTAAAGAAGTATAAGAAATATGCTGCCTATTAGTTCCACAATTTAGAGTTGTTATTTGAACTAACTTCACTTTCAATTTATGTGAAGGTGGCATCAATTTCAAAATGTTAGAAGTAAAGAAACTAGAACGCAAGCTTAATATTTGACATGCTACTTTGAACATCAGTTCTGGAATTATATCTTCCTAATTCTGATAATTTGTGTTAACTTCTTAATAGAAATTTTAACTCTGTTTTTTTTTTCTTTTCTAAAAAAACAATTCCTTCTTTCAGGGGACATTCATGGGCAGTATGCTGATCTTCTGCGGCTTTTTGAATATGGGGGTTTTCCTCCAAATGCTAATTATTTATTCCTCGGAGACTATGTTGATCGTGGAAAGCAGAGTCTAGAAACAATATGCCTTTTGCTAGCCTATAAGATTAAATATCCCGAGAACTTCTTTCTTTTGAGAGGGAATCATGAATGTGCCTCTATTAATCGGATTTATGGATTTTACGATGAATGCAAACGAAGGTTCAACGTGAGACTTTGGAAAACCTTTACTGATTCTTTTAACTGTCTTCCAGTGGCTGCTGTAATAGATGATAAAATATTGTGCATGCATGGTGGTCTTTCCCCTGATCTAACAAACTTAGATCAAATTAGGAGTATAACCCGACCAATTGATGTTCCCGATTCTGGTTTGCTTTGTGATTTACTTTGGTCAGATCCTGGTAGGGATATCAAAGGCTGGGGTATGAATGATAGAGGAGTCTCGTTCACGTATGGTGCAGATAGAGTCTCCGACTTCTTAATGAAAAATGATATGGACCTTGTTTGCCGTGCCCATCAGGTTAGGGTGTTTACTCTTTACTTCATTATTTGTGCAACTGAGTGTAAGCTAAGTAGCTGATCCTATTTCTTCGTTCAGGTTGTTGAAGATGGATACGAGTTCTTTGCTGACAGGCAGCTTGTTACTATATTTTCCGCTCCCAACTATTGCGGAGAATTTGATAATGCTGGTGCGATGATGAGTGTTGATGAAAGCCTAATGTGTTCATTTCAAATTCTTAAGCCTGTGGATAAAAGGTCCAGGTTCATTTGAGGGACATAACGACTGCTGTCTCTGTTCCTACGAAGAATAGCTGATGTAAGTTAATTTTTTTATTACAAAATCCTGGTTATCGTATTGTGGCAGTGATTATAAAAATCCTTGAAGTTAATGTTCTATTTTCTAGATTTTAAAAGTTATTTTCTTATGTTTGTGTTTGCTGCTTGTCAGTGTTTGTAGCAAGTCATCTCTGTTTTATTTAATTTTGGTCTCTTTGCTCCAATTTTTAAGAAGCAATCTGTTGGGTTATACAACAAATCTTAGGAGAACTGTTAACATGCTGATTTGGTTTAGAATAATTTATTATATTATTGACATGCTCGGAGCTCTCAAGACTAATTATATCTGCTCATCTTGTTGTTTAGTAAGTGAATTCTATCTTCATTTAGGTAATTTGTTAATTATGTATGTGATTCCTACTCAAATAGAACTTGTCAGTAGTCACATAGCTATTGTGTATTTTGATTTGTTGTTATTAGCTATAATTTCTTGTGTTCTATATACATGTTCCCCCCCCCCCCGGGAATTCTTATGGAATTCTATACATATCCATGTTTTAACAAGCATGGAATGTTTAGGGGTCCGTTTGAAAACACATTCCGGAAAATGATTTTCTTAAAATGAATTACACTTTCTGGAAATAATTTTACAGTGTTGAACTAATCCAATTACATATATGAGTGGTTTGAAAGATTGCTTGCAAACGTTTCATTGTCTTTTTAGTTTGTGAACCTAATTTATAATTTAGTTTGCTGATATGGTCATATTTGTTGCAGTCTCACATGTGATTTAAGAAGAAATCTTCAAAGAATAGGTCATGTTGGTGTTGGAGATGCTTGAAGATCTGACCATTTCCTCTCCCATGTCAAAGGGTACAGCTTATCTGTTCAAACTATTTATAACCATATGAAATCAAAAGACAAGGCATGATTGACATATGGCATTTGTTTTCCTTCTCCCCTTCTATCAGACGTGAAATCTATTGCCAGTGCCATGGAGATTCCCTCTGTCGGTTTGTTTTTAACAAAAATGGTGCCAATTGTCCGTTTAGCGTCACCACATGAAACCTCTTAACAAAAGTGTTACATGATAATTAAAAAAAAATCACGTGTCTCCTCCTCCTCATCTTCCATTAACATGTATGGGTTATGTTTCAACTATTTTTTTGGTTTTGTTTTTATTCCTATTTTACTTGTTTAGCCGATCTACAAGCCTTATCAGACAGAGAATCTCATAGTAGGACACCGAGTAATTCAGCGCCAGTCCCAGCCTGATCGGGTGCTCTGGAGCTAGATCCAAAGTTTTCGACTTCAAAAAGTATTGAATTTAATCAAAACACTAATTCCAAATCAACATCCAAAATTCTACTCAAGCATTCAAGTGTTTAGTCAAAGCCAGACTCCATTATAAAAAGTTATAGATGTCGTGTAAGACAACATAGTATCCTCAGCAGCGGCTTTCCTCTCGTCATCGACCTTAAACTCTGCTAAATACCGCTGATAATCCCCTTTCATCTTCAAATAGAAAACCTTGGACAAACTGGCCGCAACAGTCGAGATCAGATTTGAGTCCAACAAAGTCAAGATACTAGCGCAAACATATGACAAGTCACCTTCCATCTTCGATCTATACTCCTTAACCAGCACAACATGTTCCTCGTTCTTACCACCTTTCTGCTCAATGGAAGAAATAATTCTCCACGCGGTGCGTAGCCGATCACATTTTTGTAGGCGACAGAGAGAAGATTTCACGGTGAGTTGGGTTGCAGGAGTTGAACCGGAGCAAGAAGAAGAAGAAGAAGAAGGCAACATGTGGTTTTTTTTTTAGTTGTCATGAAATACCTTCATTGAAGAAGAAGAGGCAACACGTAGATTTTTTTTTAATTGTCACGAAACATTTTTATTAAAAAGTTATTAAAGATTTAAGTGTCATGAGAGTGAAACCCCAAAGTTCTATATTATATTATATTTAACCGATAAGTGGAGAAAACAATGAATATTTTTTGTTAAAAAGATACTGTATATGGGAGTAAATAAAATTAAAAATATTGAAACTCGAAATGTCTACGTGGCTGTCCTTAAATCCACCACGACTACAATCACATTGTCGGTACTATGCCTGGCCAAGGCCAGCTTTGTGAGCAACATGAGGCGTCATTGCACGCCTTGTCCCAGATCCCTCCTCCTCCCATCGACTGAGACTTCAAACACATGCGAGCCACGCTGCATGCTGTATCATTTGACACCCATCCCATAAGCCGTCACTCGCTAGTATCAAGCATTCATCCTCCGCCCGTCCGATCCATGATCGTAACCTCCGGCTCACAGCTCACATAAGGTTTCAAGTAGTTATCCCCTGTCACACAATCTTTTTAAGTAACGCTGATATCATGTTAGAAAATTAATAAATTATGTATCTAATCACTCATTTATTTTTATAATTTCGTTTTAATTGTTTTACTACTTTTTAAGTTATACTTTAAATTATATTTTGATCATTTATCATTAAATAATATATAGAATAAACTAAAATATGGATATGATATTTTTTTTAATAATAATATAATATTATTTTATAGCACATATTAATATTATCGTTAATTTTGTAATTATAGATAATTACAACGAAACCAAAATTTAATATTAAATTTAACTTTAAACAAAATTGAGGGTTTAAAATAAAATTAAGAAGATAGACGGGTGACTAAAAAAAATACTAATTTAGTCTAAAAAAGTTTAGTGCAGATAGGATTGTTTATTTACCTATGCCTCTGGACGTTACGAGGACTCCAAGAACCCGAGGACCGTCCCAGCAAATAACCCGACCCCCGGCTTCTTGTATCCGGTTCAGCTCATCCGGACGATCAGGCTGTTAACTATTTCTTTTTGTTAACGGAATTTTCTCGGAAACCAAACAGAAACGGGCGATAACCAAATTTTTTGCTTTAAAAAGGGAGACTCAGAGAGTGAGAGCTAACTACAAAATGCTTACCTTGTGATCGGACGTTAAAACAACCGGCATGCCGTTACGACACAAAACAGCTCTGGAATCGCCGCAGTTAGAAACAACGATCTTATCAGGCGTTATCACGGTAACAACGGCGGTAGATCCGACGGCATCACTATCCGGAGACTGTAACTCGCATCGGCAGTTAGCTCCAACCGTATTCTTATTCAACTTGATCACTTCCCTATCCATGCGCGTGAAACTACGCTCCATCGCACCTTTCCACTCTTCGTCTTCATTCTCCAACTCTTCCTTCATTAGTTCATGTAAACGCTCTCTGCACCGCATCGCCACCTAATAAGCAATAACCGAAATGGCAAAAAAAAATCAATATCTTTAAGTCAAAGAAAACAAAGCTTATTTTCAATTTTAAAAAGTTTGAGATCCATACGTGAGAGCAACCGTGGCCATCGTAGACGCCAAAGTAGTGGAAGCTAATGGCGGCCGAGTCCTGCCCTTTGCAGTGAAACGACGGATGACTCTGAATCGATTGTGATTGCAGGCATTAAAGGCGATGGACGTGTGTGACTTTTAACTACCGTTCCTTTGGTTTTTGATCTTCCGTTTTTCTTGTCTATGTCCGAGATGGAAGAATTATCTCCAACTTTTTCACGATCTAGAGCACATGCGGCTGCGTAAGCTTGGAGCTTGCGGAGTTTCCGGCGATTCTCAGCCTCTATGGAGCGAAACCAACGAATTTAAACAGTTTAAATGTCATTCTACGTCTCCTAGCTTGACGAGAACTCGGTTGGCACGGTGCTGATTCTTCGCTTTCGCTCATCACTCCGCAGCAGATCTCAGCCATAACAACAACAACAACAACAACTAAACCCACCGAGCTATTAACATGTAAAGTTCCGGGTAACAAATCCTTCAATATCTTCCAACACGTATAGGTCAGCTTTGACAAAAAGTCAATACAACATGGAATTGCAAACCAAACAGAGGCACGAGGCAGTGGAGTCAAGTGTGGAAAAGTAACAAATCCTTCAATATCTTCCATATATTTGTTGTATTTTTTATAGATTATGAGTTTGAGTTCTAGGAGCTAAAATGAATTAGTGATTTTTACTTCACTGAAACATGCGTGCTGATTAGGGATGGGCATGGGATCCGAATCGGATGGGTTCCGATCCGACCCGACTTGATCTGATTGGATTTTTTTTAAAAAATCTGGTCGGGTTTTTTTAAGTGTGTTATTCGGGTTCGGGTTTAAGGTGAAAAATACTCGACCCGAAAAAAATATATAATTTTACCTTATATATTTATGAATAATTACAATAATAACCCCTCTATATACAATTTTTTTCAATTAAGTCAATGTTTTTATTGAATAAAAATATTTTTTTATTATTTCAGGTCGGGGTCGAGTCAGGTGAAACATTGTTTTGGTCGGATCGGGTCTCGGGTGGAGGATCCCTTGTTCTCGGGTCGGATGGACCAAAAACTCGACCCATGCCCACCTCAAGTGCTAATTACATTAGGACACGTGTCACTATACATGTTATCGTTAGAAAATAAAAAAAAAGTAATAAAATGATAACAATACTCGATTAAATGATAAGTTGATAATGATAGATAAACGATTAAAATAAAATATTTTAAAATTTAAAACAAATTTAAAATGAGATTATAGTTTATGACCTTCTTTACGTGTAAAATATTTAATTTATTTAAAAATATTTTTATCATTTACATCCAACCAGACCCTTAATGCAAAAAAGAGCAATCCACTTAGAGCCTTGATATAAAATAGAATAATCCAATAAACCTTTTCATTAAAATATTCATAATATTAATAATAGTATAGGATGCTATAAAATAAAATAATCAAATTAGAGTAATCAAGTAATAGGACAATGGAATATGGCTCAATAGCTTAATTTGTTTTTTTTAATAGTATAAGATGATTATAAGATACTATTTGTTCATAATCTTTTTTAATCATTGAGAACACACATACTCCGCATACGTAACTATTCGAATCCAAAACTTAAAAAAAAAATATTATTTTTAATCGTTGAGACCTATTGAACCGCTCAATAGGTTCAGTTGTTAAAACTAGACAATAACTATACAAATTCAGTCTTTTCCCAAACTAAAACCAAATAACTTACATGCACACCTATCTCGTTCACACCCCTATAACTAGCTTCTAAAAAAATTTAAAAAAGAACAGTTTAATTTCAATATATCAATACTCTCTACATTTTTTTGAATGTGTGAGAGTGTGTTTCCGCCATTAATTTTTGTCTCTTTCAATATTTCTCATAAAAAAGAAACAAAAAGTGGATTTGCTGAAGAACCAATCCAACAAATTAAAAGAAAAACATGAAATCGTCACTGCATAAACGATGAAAGAACATTCATGATCTTGTCCATCTTGCAAAACAGAAAGCTGTTTCAAGCATTTACAACAGTAACATAGTTCAACATACCTTCCAATTCCACGCTCAATTCATAACCTTTTATGACAAAAGTTTACTTTAACAAATGGACCAAATCCGGATCATCCAAGTCTACATCTAACCCACCATTCAAACGCATGTACTCAATGTAGTGATCTGGGGGTTTTACTGCTCGAGGGTTTCTCGGAGTAAAACCGTGTATCCTCTCTATATCCCGAGCAAGCCATCGAACATAGGCTTGGTCCAATGGTGGTACAATTTTCAAGATGATCTCTTCTCGTCGTTCTTGCTTTGCAGGCTTGTTTCCCATGATAAAAGAACCTTGCCAGCTTCAAACAGAAATCAGCCAGAACAAACTCGAACGTAAATTAGTAATTTAGTACAAAATGTGTTTGTGTTAACCTATTTGCCTCATATTTGTTAAACAGTATCGAACACAGAATGAATGCATGTCTTCATATCTACACTCTACAGCTCTACAGTGATACTAGAATAACAAGAGATTTCTTTATAGCTGAATGAATGACTGAAACTTGGGGGAAAAACAAGACAAAGCATATCAATGAATTACAAAGATAAGGTAATGCATTAATGTGGTAATTTTATATATTTGGAATAATAAATTAGTGCTCAGACCACAGAATAATCGGTTGATTATTACAAAAGCATGCTAGTCATATCATTAACCTCGATGGGGGGTAAATTTTTTAGATCCTTTCATACTGAAGTTCAGAGTGAAGATATCAATCGACATACAGGGAATTTGAAAGCAATTCAACTAACTACAAGGATTTGCACATAACTCTTCTCTCAGAGCATTCATGCAAAGAAACCATGTTGCCACTATTCCTTCTGTTGCATTAAAACAGCAGAAGTATAAGTCTTTTTTACACACAATCGGTAGAGTTTCTATACTCCAAAAATACCCTACAGGGTTATGAGCAACACGGTTAATCTATTCATAGAAATTAATCACTAATTCTGAACTAGCTGAGCTAGAATAACTTCCTAAAGGATCCTTTAACGCATTCATTCCCCCATTCTAATAAACCGATAGCTAGACTAGAACACATCAGAACTGATCAAAAAGCATTCAACTGCAGCTCTCCTTACAAGAAATGTTGAACATAAAAGCTTATGCTCTTACTTGATGACATACCGTACCTATCTGGCAAATCAGTCACCAAAAAGTTCCCAGTGTTTGCAATAAGGAAAGGCATGTAAGTTCAGTTGCAAAAGTTAGAAGTTTACTTCCCAAACTAACTGTGAGGATCAGAAGATGGAATGTGTCGATGACTGCATCGAAATTCTAGACTCTTAATATAGAACAGATTAAACAACATCTACCGATAGGAAACGTAAACATAGCTAGCAAAAGATACATGATAGAATCTCGCATATTACCCTATAGGCCAAATACAAATGTTCCTCGAACAAGAGCTAGTTTCAGTCTTTTAGAAACGGATGAATGATGGATATGCATCCCAACATGGGTATATTGAAATTTAATATGTCAAACACATGTGTTAGGTCATACATGTTTTAGTGAAGATTGAAGAATCCAAGTAACATAGCCAATACAATCCTTTGTTATTTAAACTGGGTGAACAACTAAGCAGTGATGCACTGAGGGGGGCCGGGGTTGTTACCCCTGAAAATTTCAAATTCCATACTTTCTGTATATCTTCTATAGATAATATGTTTTCGCCCCTAAAACTAATAATTTCGCCCCTTAACATAAGCAACTAAGAACATGCATGGATTCATCTTCATCATTCAAAGTCCAATAAATATTAACACCGTGCTCGGTAGAATACAATGCCCATCACTTGTCTTCCAGATTCTAGTGAAACCCCTCTCAATTACAAATGATAATAACATCAGAAGTGAAAGGATCAACAAGCAAAAATTTTGGACTGTTCTCAATAAACCCAACAATAAATCGATTACGGTGCAGAAGATGAAATGAGATGAGATGAAATGAAATGAAATGCTGAGTTTTGATCATTCGAGGAGATAAGATGACTTACCAATGGAGTTTCTATAATCTCAGTTGCAGCCACCTGTGGAATGAGATAAGGCGGAGATGAGGGCCGACATCGATGTGCACAAAATAAAAAAAAAAAATATCCTTTCGAAACGGCACCGTTTTGTTGTACAAAAGAATATTTGAGAAGCACGAATTTCAACTTCTCAATTATAAATGAACGGTTATTATTTCTTAAAGTTTTATAATGAGTATTAGAAATATTAAAAATACGAATATTTAATGTCAAATATCCCCTACAAGTAGTCATTAATGCCCATTAATATTAGGCTAATTTTACTTATATTTCTTATTATATGATCTTATAACAAAAAATAATATTATAATTGTAGATAAAAATAGTGACCAACTTTATTGTTAATATTAACAAGTATCTAGAGATAGTATTATATAGAGTAACGTCAATAAAGTGCTAATCATTAATAAATTCCTTTTTATGCCAAATTGATTGAAAAAAAATTAATTAAATAAAATTATTTATTTTAATAATTTATTTTTTAAATATATTTGATAAATGTTAATTGAAAAAAATTGAAAAATAGAAAGTAAATAGAAACATTCTAATCCTTTAATGAATAATTTTAAAATATTTTATTTTAATCATATTTCTTTTAAATATAATATTCTTTAAGTAAAACGTCAACTTAATTCTATAATTTAATATTTAATTAAAAACCTTTTTTCATTAATTTAAAAAATCTATTTTTCTATTAATTTAAAAACCCTTTAATGGCATTTGGTTGGCATGAATCCCTTAGAATTGGTGGGAATTGGAATCCAATTTCATCACTTTCTCATGTTTGGTTCAAGTTTTCCAATGGAATTGGAATCCCTCATTGCTTCAACTTTCCATCAAATGAGGGAAAGTGAATTTCATCCAAGAATGGATAGAATTCAATTCCCTTGTTGGAGGGAATTGAAATTTGACCATACTACCCTCATCAATCTTTTGGTAACTTATTCGAATAAAAATATTTTTTATTATTTCGGGTCGGGTTTCTAATTTATATATTCGGGTCGGGTGAAATTTTATTTTGGTCGGTCCGGGTCGGTTTTTTTAAGTGTGATATTCGGGTCGGGTCGAGTTCGGGTTTAGGGTGAAAAATACCCGACCCGAAAATATATATAATTTTACCTTATATATTTAGGAATAATTACAATAACACCCCTCTATATATAATTTTTTTCAATTAAGTCATTGTTTTTATTGAATAAAAATATTTTTTTATTATTTAGGGTCGGGTCGGATTTCTAATTCATATTTTTGGGTCGTGTCGGGTGAAACTTTATTTTTGTTCGGGTCGGGTCGGGTTTTTTAAGTGTGATATTCGGGTCGAGTCGGGTCATGTTTTTTTAAGTGTGATATTCGAGTCGGTTGGGTTTTTTAAGTGTGATATTCTGGTCGGGTCGGGTTTGGGTTTAGGGTGAAAAAATCGGACCCGACCCGAAAAAATATATATAATTTAACTTATATATTTATGAATAATTACAATAATACCCCTCTATATATAATTTTTTAAAATTAAGTCAATGTTTTTATTTAATAAAAATAATTTTTTTATTATTTTGTATCGTGTCGGGTCGAGTTTCTAATTCATATATTGAATAAAAATAGTTTTTGGTATATTTTTTTGGTAACTAATTAACATACTCCGATTGGAATGTATCGAAATATTGATCTATCTTTTGGTAACTTATTAATATATTTTGATTGCGATGATTTTAACTTATGATGTTTATTAGCATGATTTTTATAATTTATTGAAATGAATAATCAATCAATAAAATGAAATTTTAATATTTTTTTAATTTTTTATAATATATTACTACATGTAAATTGTAAAACAAACTAAAATAAAGCAAAAAAACAAGAAGGACAATTCTGTCATTTTATATTATTAAAATCAAATTCATCTGACATGTATGCGAACCAAACAAAATATGGAATTGTATTCCAATTCCTAACAGATTCCAATTCCTTCACAGATTCCAATTATCTCAGAAACATTCTAGCGAACCAAACGCCACCTTTCACCTTTGAGTACAAGGAAATTCACTGTGTAAAAAAATTTAAAGATTGCAATTGGCCAACGCTTGGATATAAAGATCTGGCCAAGGAATCGTATCAATTTTTTTCCCTGAAAAGATGAAGAAGTACGGTTTACAGCTTAGGGTTCCGTCGACCCAACAGAAAAAGCCGGAGACAAGACCACCGCTACCTCCTCCTCGCAGCTTCCAAGAAGACGACGACGACGACGTGGAGAGAGAGATTTCCCGCCAAGCTCACAAGAACAAAGCTCTCAAGGAAGTAAGATTCACATTAATTTCCTTTATTCCCTTCTTTCGAGGCTTTTTTTTTAAAAAAAATTAATTGGAATTTACCTTTTTTTTTTCGAAGGTAGAGGAGCAACATAAGAAAGCTTTAGAGGAAGATTCTTCGGTGTTTGATTACGATGGAGTTTACGACGAGATGAAAGAGAAGGTTGTTCGCCCCCGTGTTCAAGATCGCAAAAAGCGAAATGTATACTTTTTCTAATATATTTTAGGGTTTTCTTTTTATAGTTCCTAGGATTATTTGCTTGCTATTAGTTTAATTATTCCCCTTTGTTTGTCCACCCTCCCCCCCCCCCCCCAAACAAAAAAAAAATCAAAATAAATAAATATGTGTATACAATGCAGCAGGTATAAATTCACTTAACAACTGCTCAAAACTAACCTGGAATTAATCATCAATTTGACTGGTGATAATGTTGACTGTTTTGAGCAGCCAAAATATATTCATAATTTAATGAAAAAAGCGGAGCAACGGAAATGGGAACAGGAGATAGTATACGAGAGGAAGCTTGTGAAAGAGAGAAGTAAAGAGGATCACCTTTATGCGGACAAGGATAAGTTTGTGACTAGTGCCTACAAGAAAAAGCTTGCTGAGCAGACAAAATGGATGGAGGAAGAACGCATACGACAACTTCGAGAGGAGAAAGAGGATGTAAGTGTAGCTTTTTCTGTTGTTTGCTTTCCACTTCTTTGTTTATGGGTTTGGTTTTTACTTTTATTGTATGTTACAACATTTATGATCGAATGAATTGCTATTGATTCCGAGGGTGGTTAGCATGCTGTTGTTAATCTAAATATGTTGATTCGAGTGTCCCAAATAAACAAATTGATTTTTTCTTTGTCTGCTGGGACTGGAAATTTTGAAGCATTGTTTGAAAGTGAATTATATTGAAAAAACACAAGTGCAGATAGCATTAATGGTATCAAGAATCAAGATTATCATTTCGACTTGAAGTTCATATTGAAAAAAGACTGTTCACGTGTATCTATCAGTTGGGTTGCTTATCTTTTATGGGATTATAAATTTACATGTTATTAGAATTAGCTAAATGCAAGAAAATGAATTTGGGATACATAATCTACATTTAAAGTTTATTTGTTAAGTGGGAATAAATAGGGTGTTCTTTTTCGGTATTTAATTCCCCAATTTTCTTTCTGTCTCCTGTCTGTATGTGATTGGTTTACTTTAACTCTTAAATTTCCAATTCTGTTGTAATTTATCTGGTTGATGACCATTTTTTTAAAGGTTACCAAGAAGAGTGACTTGAGTGATTTTTACTTCAACCTTGGTAAAAATGTTGCGTATGGGGCAAATGAATCAAAATCAAGAAAGCTTGAATTAGGGAAACTTGAGGAGAGCGAGAAAGATGCATCCAATAGAGATCAGCCGTTGCCTGAACCAACTGCTCCCGAGTCTTCTGCTATGACTGACCAGACTCGAGATGAAACAGGTTCTCGAGAAATATTTGAGTCTCGAGATTCGAAGCCAATAACCAAAGATATACTTCCAGACACTACAATACAGGAGAACACTTCAGAGAAACAAGTCTGTTGATGAACCAAAAAGCAACCATCATAAAAGAGGTGAAGACGCAGTTGCAGCAGCTAGAGAACGTTTTCTGGCACGCAAAAGGGCAAAGGAGCAATGATATGCTACCTCTCTCTGACAACGGATTTACGATGTGTTATAATTATTTACGATGTTGCAAATTCTAGACTCAAGTTTTTGGGAAATTACTTTGCTGTCAGAACCCATGTTGATCATGAATTCACCATGCCAGGAGAAGCCACTGTTATGATATATACATTTTAGAAAACAATCATGTATTCGGAAGTTGGCATCTGATATCAATGTCCAAATATATGTTTGAAAACGGTTAACATAAGTTTTAAGTGAAAATGTAGATGTTAGATATAGATTTGTATCTGTATTCTTTGTCCATTTCCTCTTCTCCTGACCCTACCGCATTGCTACGTTTGGCGGTGGCCATGGTCTTCCTTTGCCATCTCAACTTGAGCTCAATCAATTCCCACAGCCAAATTTACCTCTACATAGGTTTATTCAAGGAAGGATAAAAGTAGGGTGTAATATTAGATTCTAATATAAGATCAGTGTTCGATTCAATAATATTATTTACAAGTTGTAAATTTACATTATAAACATGGTGTTGATCAAAGTGCGGGATTATTTTTAGGGTGCTTAAATGGGTTAAAATGATTATTTTATTAAGCTAAAAAGAAACAGTAATATATGACATTCCATGTCAGATAAGCTAACGGAACCTTACTGAAAACGTAACCTTACTGAAAATGAAGTAAAATTTTGGTGATTGTATTACAAATTTTAAAAATTGGGTGAACAAAATTTAAGAAACTTAAAAATTAGGTGATCATTTATGTAGTTTACCCTAAAATTAATCACAATATATTATAAAATCTAGTAGATAGAATATTTTAACGAAATACTACCGGCGAGGATCCAGCACGACCGGTTCCATCCAGACGACACACATTTGACTTACGTGTCAAAATATAAATGGAGAAATGTGGAGGGAGAGAGAGATTTAGCGGATCAAAAATATCTGGTTAAGTCGTCGAAATTGGCCCCATCGCTACTCCTATCTGGAATCAGATATTCCACTTTTCCTTTCTCTTTTTCTTCCATCCGAAAAGGAATTTTCTTTTTTCTTTCCTCCCAAACAGCCCTCACTTTCACGTTGTTATTTGGAAAATCTCTACAGT